GGGGGGCTGGCAGTGGGCACAGGTGAAAACTAAGAAGGGAGGAGAGAGACAAATGGAATGAGGAGCCGAGATGCCGGGGAACTGGGACTGTCTGGGAAAGGAGACCGGGACTAGGATGAGACACCTGAGGAGTTCTGATTGGGACGGGGACAAGAGCCGGGGATGGGAAGAGACAGCTCTGGGACAGGGAGAAGTGGTGGGGAGGGATGAGGCAAGCTTGGGTAAAACCAGGCAGACGAGTCTGTGCCCACTAGTGGACACTCCCCTCCAGAGCCTGGAATGGGAGCCATGATTCTTTATGTTTGCAACGACGGCCATGCATTGAGCACTGGAGTCAAGATCTTTACTGACAGCAACGTAACTAGAACCCTTCAAATTATTTCTTGCTGCTGCTGGTGGTGGACATGGCTTATAAGACAAAATGGTGACCCTAGCAGGGGATTAATCTCTTTCTGGACTAAAACTCACTGTAGCCTGTCCACAGGATCAGAACCTCCCAATCACCATCCTTCAATCTTACTGTGAAATTCCCCAGGGTGCAACCTGAACTTCTGTGTCCTCTTAACCCCCCAACCTGGAGTTCATTTTACGCTGCTTTACTGTCAGACCAGCGACTCCTGGCCTGCTCATGCAGAGATACTAGTCTGCAAAATCACTCCCAGATGTTTACATGAATGCTGTCTCAGCCATCCATGGAAAGATAGACCATGACACCCACATATCCCCACTCCCATCCTTGGCTCCCCAAAAATGTGTGTCTTATACTGCTCAGTAGACCCTGGACATTATAAGATCATAGATAGTCTTGATCCTTGCCTGATGTCTGGAGAAGAGTGGCCAGCTGCCTTGGTCATCCCACCTCAGCCACCTTCTCTGTTAGGCCCACACTTTCTCCCTTCCTACATTGTTAACAAGGTTAATGAATGAATGTGAACCTTACTGAAGAAGTCAAACAAAAGGACTCAAAGGGTTATGTGTTGCTCTCTTTCAATGACATGGTTCCTTCTTCCTTTCACAGTTGACAGGTGTCGGAATTTGTCTACTTGTCCTCCTTTTGCAACCTGTAAAAACGTCCCTGGAGGCTACCAATGCACTTGCAATCCCGGGTTGGCATCCAGTTCTGGGGAGGAACACTTCACTGATCCAACAGTGAAGTGCGTCGGTGAGTATCAGCTCCGGAGCCCAGCTAAGTGAATGGGAACTCTGTAATGGGGCGAGAGCTATGGGTGTTGCTGTAATGCCATTGGGACCAGCTCTTGCACTTGCCAGAAGAGTTATGGAGCAGTGCACTCCACTGACGGGTGAGCATGCTGCAATGATTAAGGGTACGTCTACACTTCCATCGAGCTAGCATGCTAACAATAGAGGGTAGCCAAGCAGGTGCGAGTGGTGGGATGGAACTGGGCATGTAAACCAGTGTGTGGAAGTAGGGTGGGGAGATAGATCTGTCCAGGCAACAGGGTGCAGGGAGAAGATGGGACTGGCCAGATAAAGAGACTGGGTCAAGGAGCTGGTCTGGGGGAACAACAGTGAGATTGGACTAAATATCTGGGGAGAGACACTGGGACTGGGACTCAGTGGGACTGGGGAATGTTGGGGGGCTGGCAGTGGGCAAAGCTGGAAACTAAGAGGTGAGGAGAGAGACAAATGGAATGAGGAACCAGGATGCAGGGGGACTGGGACTGGCTGGGTATGGAGACCAGGACTGGGAGGGGAGGATTTGGTGCAGGGGTAGACTGGGACTGGCTGGGAAAGGAGACCGGGACTGGGATGAGACATCTGAGACGTTCCAGTTGGGACGGGGACAAGAGCCAGGGATGGGAAGAGACAGCACTGGGACAGGGAGAAGTGGTGGGGAGGCATGAGCCTGAAGGAGTCAAGCTTGGTTATGAGCACGCAGATGAGTCTGTGCCCACTAGTGGACACTCCCCTCCAGAGCCTGGAATGGGAGCCAAGATTCCAGCTCTTCTGAGTCCCCACCCAGCATCTGGCCAGGTTTGGTTCTGTCAGTTCTGCATGACTCCCTAGGCGTGGATGAGTGTCTCAGCAGGAAATCTTGCCCTTGCCAGGCCACTCACACCATGGCCTTTGGAGTTACTTTATGCTTGCAACGATGGCCATGCATTGAGCTCTGGAGTCAAGATCTTTACTGACAGCAACGTAACTAGATCCCTTCAAAATTATTTCTTGCTGCTGCTGGTGGTGGACGTGGATTTTAAGACAAAATGGC